CATGAATAAGTTTAAGGAAAAGTGCTGTGCCTTGATGTGCATAGGCAAACATCTTCATAAACATTTTCAGTGCATAAAGAGCAGCATTGCTAGCACGTCCCACCTCCAGCCCTGAGGCGGTTTTCTCCTATCTCAGTAAATAGAACATACAATCTGGTTTTACACCAAGTCGTTCCATTGCCTAGGGACGTTCAGGAGACAGATGCCTTTCTCTATCTCAACTGCCAAGAGGCCTTCCTTCCTCTTATACTAATCCTCCTCAGCACAGACCCTTCACAGGTATCAGGCTGGGGGACGATCAGGTCTTTCCCTTCCCACGAGGCCATATTTCAGACTATCACATGGGGAGAAACCTTGGACAATACCTAGCTTTCCTAGGCAGAGGTATGTGTCCATGGGTACTTGAGATTAACAGAATGATGATGACTTTTAACCAGCATACTGCCTTCAGGCACTTGTTTAACAAAGCACATCCTGCACAGCCCCAAATCCGTTAAACCTTGAGTCACCACAGCACATGTCTCTTGCAAGGACAGGGTTGGGGGTAGGGTCACAGATTAACAGCATCTCAAATACAGAACAAAATGGAGTCTCTTATGTCTACTTCTTTCTGTATAGACACAGTAACAGTCTGATCTCTCTCTCTTTTCCCCACAGTTCTCAGAGAGGAGCTGTATCTATTAGCTGAATACCATCTGAACTCACTTCATCTGCTATTCCTGCTTTTCCTTCCTGTACTCCTCTGGCCCACATGGTAGGTTATGGATACCTCAAGCTCCTGAACTCACTTGATATAGTTCCAGCCAGCCTCAGAGAATGATTAAGAATCCCTGGATCTAATTGCCAGTTCCATCAAAGAGAATATGATTGGCCCAACTTTGATAATCTACACTGTATATTTGTGTTACAGAGATAGTTTTATGGTAAAATAAATAATAGTAACATGTATTAATATATAAAGAGATCCAATTTTTTCATAATTACTTAAAGTAAGTAAAATATTGTGATAACACTTACTGGTCTGTATCTTCCACTAGCCTGTGAGCTCCTCCACAGCACGGATCCTATCATTTAACAGAATTATAATCATGTATATAATTATAATTATAATCTTGTATATAAGAATTATACAGAATTATAATTATGTATACACATGTATAAGGATTTTCCTGTCTCTAAGATTATTTTTTAAAATACTTAATTTTTGCATAATATTCCAAATTGGGACCCTTCTGCAGGTTATTTAATCACTTTTGAATATTTAGACTATTTTCAATTTTTCACTATAAATAACATTGCAATAGTCATCCTTTTCAAAAATCTTAGATACAGATGTGATTATTTACTTTGGATAGCTTCTTAGAAGTGAAACTCTGGGCCGGGTGCGGCGGCTCACACCTGCCTATAATTCCAGCACTTTGAGAGACCAAGATGGGCAGATCACCTGAGGTCAGGAGTACAAGACCAGCCCGGCCAACATGGCAAAACCCCATCTCCACTAAAAATACAAAAGTTAGCCAGACGTGGCAGTGCATGCCTGTAATCCCAGCTACTTGAGAAACTGAGGCAGGAGAATTGCTTGAACCCGGGAGGCAGAGGTTGCAGTGAGCCAAGATCACACCATTGCACTCCAGCCTGGGTGATACAGCAAGACTCTGTCTCAAAAAAAAAAAAGTGAAACTCTGGCTATTCCCTTTTTGGAGTTTCATAAATATATTACTAAATTGCTACAGGCCAAAACTGGAAGCACATTCCCCTTGAGAACTGGAACAAGAAAAGGATGCCCATTCTCACCACCCTTATTCAACATAGTGCTGGAAGTCCTAGCCAGGATAATCAGGCAAGAGAAAGAAACAAAGGTATTCAAATAGGAAGAGAGGAAGGTAAACTATCTCTCTTTGCCAACGATATGATTCTATAGCTAGAAAACCCTAAAGACTCTCCCAAAGGCCCCTGGAACTGATAAATGAATTTAGTAAAGTTTCAGGATACACAATCAATGTACAGAAAATCAGTAGCATTTTTATATACCAATAATGTTCTGGCTGAGAATCAAATCAAGAACACAATCCCATTTACAACAGGCACAAAGAAAATGGAATACTCAGGATCACCTAACCAGGGAGGTGAAAGATCTCTGCAAGGAGAACTACAAAACACTACTGAAAGAAATCAGAGACAACACAAATAAATGGAGAAACAGTCCAAGCGCATGGGTTGGAAGAATCAATACAGTTTAAATGGCCATACTATCCAAAGCAATTTACAGATTTCACGCCATTCTTACCAAAATACCAACATCATTTTTCACAGAACTAGAAAAACCTCTTATAAAATTAATTTGGAACCAAAAAAGAGCCTGAATAGTCAAAGCAATCTTAAGGAAAAAGAACAAAGCAAGATTTCAAACAATACTGTAAGGCTAAAGTAATCAAAACAGCATGATAATCATACAAAAACAGACACATAGACCAGTGGAACAGAATAGAGAACGCAGAAATAAAGCCACACACCTAAAACCATCTGGTCTTCGACAAAATCAACAAAAACAAGCAATACAGAAAGCATTCCCTATTCAATAAATGGTGGTGGGATAACTGGCTAGCCATATGCAGAAGAAAGACACTGGACCTCCCTACCTCTCACCATATACAAAAATTAAGCCGGATTAAAGATTTAAAAGTAAGACCTCAAACTATAAAACTCCTAGAAAAAAACTAGGAAATACCCTTCTTGACATAGGCTTTGGCAAAGAATTTATAGTTAAGTCCCCAACAGCAATTACAACAAAAATAAAAACTGACAAGTGGGACCTAATTAAACTAAAGAGCTTCTGCACACCAAAAGACACTATCAACAGAGTAAACAGATAGCCTACAGAATGGAAGAAAATATTTGCAAACTATGCATCTGACAAAGGTCTAACATCCAGAATCTACAATGAATTTAAACAAATCAAGAAGAAAAAACAATCCAATTAAAAAATGAGCAAAGGACATGAACACACACTTCTCAAAAGAAGGCATACAAATAGCCAACAAACGTGAAAAAATCCTCAACACCACTAATCATTAGAGAAATGCAAATCAAAACTACAATGAGATGCCATCTCACACCCATCAGAATGGCAATTATTAAGAAAAAAAATCCACATATGGGTTGGGCTATGAAGAAAAGGGAAGGCTTATACTCTGTTGATGGGAATGCTAGTTCAGCCACTATGGAAAGCAGTTTGGAGATTTCTCAAAGAACTTAAAATACAACTACCATTCAATCCAGCAATCCCACTACTGGGTATATACCCGAAGGAAAATAATTCATTCCATCAAAAAGACACAGAGCTGGGCACCGCAGCTCATGCCTGTAATCCCAGCACTTGGGAGGCCTAGGCGGGTGGATAGTTTGAGCCCAGGAGTTCTGGACCAGCCTGGGCAACACGGCAAGTCCCCATCTCTACAAAACATACAAAAATTAGCCAGTTATGGTAGCGCACACCTGTAGTCACAGTTACTTGAAGGCTGAGGCAGGAGGATCAGTTAACCCAGGAAGTTGAGGCAGCAGTGAGCCATGCACGACTGCACTCCAGCCTGGGTGACGCAGCGAAACCCTGTCTCAAGACAAAAAAAAAAAAAAAAACAGAACACATGGAATTGTGTGTTCATTGTGGTGCCATTCACGCTAGCAAGGACATGAAATCAACCTAAGTGCCCATCAACAGTGGACTGGATGAAGAAAATGTGGCACATATACACCATGGAATATTATGCAGCCATACAAATAAGGAAATTATACTCTTTATAGCAACATGGATGGAGCTGGGGGCCATTATCTTATGCAACCTAATACCAAGAACAGAAAACCAAACACACATGTTCTCACTTAGGAGCTAAACATTGACTATATGATGGTAAACATGGAAACAAGAGACACTGAATATCATTAGATGAGGAAAGGGGGAGAGGCACAGAGGGGTATAGGCTGAAGAAGCACCTGTTGAGTACTATGCTTACATCCTGTTGGGATCGTTGGGACCCCAAACCTCGACATACTCTAAGGTTTTGCTTTTTGTTTTTTGAAACTGGTGAGATTAAACTTTTTTACCTTTTCTTTTTTTTTAGATGGAATCTCGCTCTGTCGCCCAGGCTGGAGTGCAATGGTGTGATCTCGACTCACTGCAACCTCCGCCTCCAGAGTTCAAGCAATTCTCCTGCCTCAGCCTCCCGAGTAGCTGGGATTACAGGTATGTGCCACCACGCCTGGCTAATTCTGTATTTTTAATATAGACAGGGTCTCTTCATGTTGGTCAGGTTGGTCTCGAACTCCCGACCTCAAATGATCCGCCCGCCTCGGCCTCTCAAAAGTGCTAGGATTACAGGTGTGAGCCACCACTCCTGGCCATCCTAATGTTTTAAATAGCGATTTATATTTCCTCTTCATGAATTGTCTGTTAAAGCACTTGTGGGCGGAAATTAAGTTTTGTTCTTCTTTCAGTGTGCTTCGGGCCTTAGAAATGGTGTTTGTTACGTAGCTCTCACAAAGCTTTGAATACATATAGATAGAAACCTAGCCGTAATTGTTTAGAATCTTGCGAGAATACGCCACTGCAACCGCACAACTGTGTGCCATTTTAGGATTTACCGAGAATATTCATGAGTATTGGTGCATTTTAATACAACTACTGTGCATTGTTGCTTTCAGCATTTTACTATGCAGAGCAAAGTCTTGAGTGAGGTCTGGGAAAGATAAATGGTGAAAATTTAAGGAATTTCTCGCAGAAACGGAGGAATTCATCTTCCCTAAAGAAAGGATATACCGACTAAAATTAGTTGGTCCTCCCGTGCACCAGACGGCGAAGCAGCAGGATGTGACGCTGCACGGTAAGTGAGCGACTCGCTGGACTACACTTCCCAGAAGGTTTCTTTGGCCTCCGCACTACGTAATCACCCAGAATGCTCAGCGGCCGAGAACTTCAGGTCCCAGACTGCTGTGCGGCTAAATACGACTCCATCTCCCCCGACCCAAGCGCTTAATGGCCGCTGGCAATCTTGGGGGAGCCAGCTGTTGGACTATGCCCCGCTGCCAGGAAACAGGCGCCAGAAGGTTCTCCGACAAGATCCCGCCTTCCTAAGACGGTAAAGGCGTTCACAGGTCGGGAAGGGGCGGTGGGAGTAGCGGGACAGCGCTGAGCATTGCTCGTGAACTGTGGGTCGGCCTGCGAAGAGGCCCAGTTTCGTGGCACCAGTGTGGCGCCCGCACTGGAAGGTGGTGTTGTGACCGAGCGAAAACTACAATTCCCAGCATTCCTGCGGTGCCAGAACTACCTTGCCCGAAAGCCTGTGCGAGATTTACCCCGTCTTCCGCCTCCCGCCCGCCGGAAAACTCTGAGGCCATGAATAGTCGCCAGGCTTGGCGGCTCTTGCTCTCCCAAGGCAGAGGGGATCGTTGGGTTTCAAGCCCCCGCGGGCATTTCTCGCCGGCCCTGCGGAGAGGTGAGGCAAGGCGTCGTGTCATAGATGTCTGAGTGCTCTCTAGGGAGACGATGCCCGTGGGTCGCGCCTGCTCGAGCGAACGGGAAGAGAAGGTGCCACACCCTCGTCCCCGATTCACGCCTTGTGCTGGCGACACAGCTGCCTGCTGTCCCGACTTGCCCAGCTCGCCCCAAGGGGCGAGGACTGAGGAAATCAGTGCCTTTCTGTTCTTAAAGCGAACCTTTGAAGGCCAGGGCTTCGCGCCCGGCTTCTTTCTCAGCCCTTGTTTCCCTTTTTTGGTGACAAGAGGCTAGTAATCTGGTAGGTTTGTCTGGAGGCAGCGTAAGGTAATCTGTGCTTGAGGGTGTCCTGATTTCTTCTGTGGCCTGATCTTTAGATTTTGTTTTTTTTAGGTGCTGGCCTCGAGCCCAAGTTTTTGGTAGACAGCATCATAAATTTCAGATCACGTCTGCCTTATTCTCGCTGGAATTCTCAGTACTTTTCAGTCACATTGTAGACTTTGGGAAAAAAAGTGAATACTGGAACCTACAAGTTTCCAACCGGTTGGCACCCCTGTTAACAGAGTGTCCTGAAGACATCTAACTTTATTCCGAGAAACGTTTCTAGGGCTAGGTTTTTCTTGTTGTCGTTTTTTACCCCCCGTTTTTAAACTTCCCTCCTAGTTTTTAAACCGTTTTAAGGTTGTCCACAAAATAGGCGAATAGGCACCTCTTATCAACCTTAGCATTCTCTGTTCACCTTCTTGAATCTTCAGTGCCAGGTACACTGAGCCAGTCGGTACCCAAACACTTCCACGCTGTTATTTATGCTCCGTATTGTTACTTGTGCTGTTTTGCTCATTGTTTAATTTTAATCCACACCAGTAACAGCTGCAGTCAAAACTGCATCCGTCTGTAAGATTGCTCTTTAGCTGCCAGGATCATTCACAAGGTCTCTTTTGTTAGGTATTTGGGTGTTTAGCATAAATACACATTATGATGGATTTTACAAAAAGGAGGTAGCACTTTTGAATTCCAGGAAATCATCCAACTTTCATCTTTGTTGACTTTTACAGGTGTGCTTCACATATCCAAATGAAAACAAAATTAAATGTTTTTAGAGAATGAACTTTGAAGTGCATATCATAATGCGAAATACATGACCATAAGTAAATGTTAATGTTTTAACATAAAAGTTTTCCCACTTGAGTCTGAGTGTTCTTGGAGAAACTTTAAATCTCTTCTTACAACTAGTAGGATTTGTGTCCTTCCTCACTAAACAAATATTGAATGTTTATTGTGTACAAGTAGTTTAAACTTGCCTAATAATGTCAATAATCAGGGGATTTGAAAACCTTGACCTCTGACCAATGGAAGGACCTTAGTTATTATGATGCAACTAGTGTATCACGTTAGTAGACCAGCATGTAAGAATATATGCTGTAATGCCTGTTCTTTTGAGTTCCTGACAGAAAAGTAACTGACTATACACTGAAGTGTTTCAGCTGTAAAATTAGCAGTAAATTCATATAAAACTTGCAACTTAAATTTAGTGGGACAACATTTTACATATTTGTTTGTTTGTTTGTTTCAAAAGTAAAATTTAACCTTTTCCAGCAAAGAGGAGTTTGGTGCAAGATAGGCCAGAGTTCCAATCCGCAATCTATGACTTAGTAGTTTTGCCAAACTGGTTAAACCTTTAAACCCTTGAGTTTGTATCTCACTATTACAAACAAACAAATCCGTAAGATATAGCTATCAAAGAATCAAAAGTAGTAACAATGAAAGGAAAGGTTTGGAGTTTTGTACAGATGTTTAAGCCTGTACAAAACTTTTCAAGCTATTAAGGATCTGTTGTTCCACTATGAGCTAGAAACACTGATTCTGGGCACTTCATTTCCCCTACCTATTAATATGGCTGCGAAGACTTATTTTTTTATTTTTTTATTTTATTTTTTTTTTTGAGACAGGGTCTCTGTCACTCAGTCTCGTGTGCCTTGGTGCCATCTCGGCTCACTGCAACCTCTGCCTCCCAGGCTCAGGTGATCCTCCCACTTCAGCCTCTCAAGTAGCTGGGACTACAGGCACATGCCACCGTGCCCAGCTAGTTTTTGTAATTTTTGTAGGGACAGGATCTTGCCATGTTGCCCAGGCTGATCTCGAACTCCTGGGCTCAAGCGATCCGCCTGCCTTGGCCTCCCAACTGCTAGGATTACAGGCATGAGCCACTGCACCTGGCCTGTAAAGACATTCTTAATGAGCGCTTATGCATTGAACTGCTCATGACCTGTTGGAATAGTGATTATGAAACCCTACTATGAATATCCAATGGTTTTTCCAGTTGCTTATGGCTTCCAAAGTGGAGTGAAACCCAAAGTTCTACTGCCAGTGGGTGTCAATACCTACCTCATAGGATTGGGAGGACTAAGCAAAGTATTATGTGAATATCTTAGCACATTTAAGGAATAATGTTTTACATATCCTTCTGCATTCTCAGCTCTCCTTAGCCCCATAATAAATAGAAGCCAAGAGAATAGCAAAGGCAGCCCGTGCCTAGATTTTGCTGATTTCATTCATCCTGTCTGGATAACTTCTTTAATATTTAATGTAGCTGTACCATCATCCAAATAGCCATTCTCGATCCTTTATTCTCAAGGAGGGCCAAATGCGTCTCCTTTGTATTATTCATCATTGTGTATACATAATGCCAAGCACAGTGCCTTTCATTCAGCAAGTATCTCTGGAGCATCCAGATTTGTGTAGGCATTGGGGATTCAGTAGTGAGCAACAACAAATGTGGTCCCTGCTCTCAAGAACTGTATAGTTTAGTGCAGGGGTTGACAAACTTTTTCTGTAAAGAGCCCAATAAATATTTCAGGCTTTGTAGGCTGTAAGGTCAGTCACAACTATTTGCTTTGTAGCATGAAAGTAGCCATAGATTAATCCATAAATGAATGAGCTGTGTTCTAATAAAACTATCTAGTTCTAATGAATAAAACTAGAAAAACAGGTGGTGGTAGTCTACAGGCTATAGTTGGCTGACCACTGGTCTCTTGGGGAGACAACTGAGAGTCACATAAATGTGTAAATTGTGAGAGGGTTTGCAAAAGAATCCTATGCAGTACTATGAAAAACCATCACAAGAGAGACTTAACCCAAAGGACTCGTCAGGCTTTCCAGAGGAAGAAACATTCAGACTGAGCTCTGAAGGATAAACATGAGCAGGCAAAGAAAAAGAGAGCTTTCTGAACAGGGCAGGGACTGGGCAAAGGTCCTGAGAAGGTAAAGCACATGGCATGTTTGTGGAATTAAAATCAAAGAGCCCTTGAAAGCAGAGGACCAGAGAGAGCATAGCAGGACATGAGACGAGCTACACCCTACAAAGATTTATTGGCTTGTTAAGGTATTTGGTCTCTATCCCAAATTTAGTAGGAAGCTGCTCTTTGTGTAAGGTATTCAGAGTGTTTGTTGACTAAGTCAGAGGAACTGTACTAATACGCCTAGCTATGAGACCATAAGATCTTGGACTAATTACAGACAGTCCTCAACTTAAGATAGTTTAACTTAAAATTTTTTGACTTTATCATGGTGCAAAAACAGTATGCATTCAGTAGAAACTGTACTTTGAATTTTGATCCTTTCCTAATCTAACAATAATGCATTGGCAGGGGCAGCAAGCCACAGCTCCCCCAGTTAGCCATGGATCACAAGGGCAAATAACCAATACTTAGTATTGCCAGGGTTTTTTGGGTTTTGTTTTTGCATCCCATAATGTTTACAAAATGCCCATTTGGGTGTCTACATGAAATATTCAACACTTTATTGTAAAATAGGTTTTGTGTTAGATGATTTTGGCCAACTATAAGCTAATGTAAGTGTTCTTGGCGTGCTTGAGGTGAGCCCAGCTAAGCTGTGATGTTCAGCAGGTTAGGTGTATTAAATGCATTTTCAGCTCAGGATATTTTCAATTTATGATGGATTTAATGGGACATAACCCTTTTATAAGCTGAGGAGCATCCATACTTAGCCCTGAGCCTCAATTTACCTCATCCATAAAATGAGAATTTTAAGGATGGGGTAATAGATGTGAAAACAGTAAAATATTATATAAATGTTATTACTGATTTTTTTTCTAAATCCAAATAAACTTCTAATCAGGGATATGTAACTAAGAGTACCATCACTACTCCTAATGCAGTTGTTATTGAAATTACTGAAATCTGCCCCTCTTTCCTCTAATTTTTCTTTTTCTCTCCTACCTTAGGTCTGATATTTACACACAAAGGCATGTTTCTTTACCCTACTAGATGACATTCAAGTGAAAAAGATTACTGACCAGTGTACCAATATGTGTGTTTTAAAACATTGCTCCACTTTTATTTACAGCTACTTGCTTTTATCTCTTCAGTTAAATAGAATTTTTTGGAGTATTTTAATAAATCTTTTATCATTTGAATTTAGAGTTTATTGTTAGGTTTTTTTAAAAAACAATATCTCTTTACTGCCTTCTAGTGTATAAAATCAGTGAGAACATCATTCATGTCTGGTTTTGCTTATCATTTTACCCCTGTGCCTGGCACAAGTTCTAGCACTCAATAAATATTCATTAGGCTAGAAGGATATAAAGAAGGAATCACATTTGTTCTACACAGGACTGGTGGAAAAATAATGCCTGAAGTTGCAGTCTTTTTTTTTTCTTCCTTTCTTTCTTTTTTTTTTTTTTTTTTGAGACAGAGTCTCGCTCTGTTGCCCAGGCTGGAGTGCAGTGGCGTGATCTCAGCTCACTGCAAGCTCCACCTCCCAGGTTCACGCCATTCTCCTGCCTCAGCCTCCCTAGTAGCTGGGACTACAGGCGCCTGCCACCATGCCTGGCTAATTTTTTTGTATTTTTAGTAGAGACGGGGTTTCACCGTGTTAGCCAGGATGGTCTCCATCTCCTGACCTCGTAATCCCCTGACCTTGGCCTCCCAAAGTGCTGGGATTACAGGTGTGAGCCACCGCACCCGGCCTGCAGTCTTTTAAATATCTAGATATTTTAAGTGGCTTAGGATAAATAAGAGAAACAGCATGGAGTGTAAGATTTGAAGTCAGAAGAATCTGAGCCTGAATCCTAATTCTACCATTGGCTCTGTAAAGGTAACTCCTTTACCTTTCCTAGAAGTTGTTTATGGGCAGAGTACCTTATAATAAATTCATCAGCAATATACAGAAAAGGTCTTTACTGTGTCTAGGTTAAAACTTGGGGAATTTATTGAAATAGGACAAGAAGGGTTATTTCAGAAATGAGAATTTTTTCTTAGGGTTCTTATGTTGATACCAGTAAATATGCCCATGATTTCAAATCAAATTCATTGATTGAATCAACAGTAAAACTTTGTGGCCCAACTATGTGCCAAAGCACTGTTCTAGGTGCTAAAGATACAGTAGTGAAAACCACAGTCAAAGCATCATGGAACTTCCATTCTGATCAAGAGATACAAACAGCAAACAAGATAATTTCATATTGGAGCTGAGAACTATGTAGGAAATAAACTGTGGATATATAGTGAGTGGGAGTATGGAAAGCTACTTTAAACAGGGATGTAAGTGTAAAAAATTTTCATAGCTCTTGAAAGACTGAGCACAGAGAAGAATTGAATTGTGTAGTTTCTGCTTTACAGTAAGTAGAGCTGAGGTGGTGATATCCAAAGCATTTGATGTGTTTTATTACAAGTTTATACTAACTCTTAACATTCCTGAATACCAAAGGAGGGAAAAGAAACATTTATTGAATGTTTAGTATGTACAGAAAAAAGTCAGAGACTTTTCAGATAAAAGAGAGGCTCAGAGGAGTCAATTAACTTGGGTGAGATGACAAAACTGGAAGAGCTGGAACTATATCATAAATGGATGGGGAAAATGCTTTGTAAGCTAAAGTAGGAAACCTTTATCAGTTACTATAAGAGAAAAAAAATGTCTTCTCTTTTCAGACTTCTTCACCACCACAACCAAGGAGGGATATGATAGGCGGCCAGTGGATATAACTCCTTTAGAACAAAGGAAATTAACTTTTGATACCCATGCATTGGTTCAGGACTTGGAAACTCATGGTGAGAAACATGGATACCTCCTGAAAGAAGAAAATTAATAGCACTCATAATAATTGCCTAGTCAAGACAGTATCACTGTTATGAACAATTAAGAGTATTTAAATAGACAATCCAATGAAATATTTTATAGTCACTAAAAATGATACTATTTGAGAAATATTTACTGATATGAGGAATGTTCAAGATATGTTAATTGGAAAAAGCATTGAAATATGTACAGAATGATTCCAATTAAGTGAAAAAGAAACTAGTTTCTAGGCTAATACTAAAGTCCATGTGGAAGTACAAATGTTTGAGATTAAAAAATCGGAAAATAAGCACAAAAAATTACCTGATATCAAAACAGTAATTTAAATTATGTGATATTAAAGGAATAGACTAATAGAACAAAATAGTATTCAGAGACACAGACATGAATTTAATGTGATGAAGGCATTACAAATTAGGGAAAGGAAGGACAATTTAATAAATGAGATAATAAATGACTAGCCACTGGGAAAAAATATATTAGATCCCCTTACTGAAAACTAAATTTCAGATAGATGAAAAGCTAAATAAATGTAAAAGAATAAGCAGTTTTATAGAAAAAAGGGGGCAAATGCTATAAACAAGCATAACACAGAAAAATAAATATAAATAACAAAAAGTATATGTAATGCTTAACCTCTCTACCAACCAAGGAAATGCAAATTTAAGTAACATTAAAATAACAACGTAATACAATTTTTTTTGCCAATTACTCAAAATAAAAAGTCATATCTAGTGTTAATGTAGATGTGGGGAGATACAGAATGGGAATTAAAATTGTAGAGTACTTTTGGGAGAGTAATTTAGCATTATCTGTCAATTTTTAAATTGTAACCATTATTTTAAAAAGAGTATAACAATTTAAATGTTGAGGAGTTACTCTCGCTGTTTATTTTGATAAGGATATATACACTTTAAAATACCTATTTGCTGCCTACAGGATTTGACAAAACACAAGCAGAAACAATTGTATCAGCATTAACTACTTTATCAAATGTCAGCCTGGATACTATCTATAAAGAGATGGTCACTCAAGCTCAACAGGTAATACACTGATTACTACCGCTTCTGATACTTTCATTAGACAGTCATTTCATAACTACGTCTCTGTCTACCTAGTGACCTTCCAAACACGCTCGTATCTTCCTTGTTCTCTCTAAAGGGACCACACACACACACAAAAAAAAACACTGAATAAAGTCAATATTTAGAGAGACTGAATAGTTAGAATAGTTGTAATAATGTTGTGGTAACAGAGATGGTATTTTGCCAAATCTTTGATGGGATGAGATCATTATATTGTATTATTCATGAGTGGTGGTAGATTGTTAGTGAAACAACTTTTTCCCTCAAGAAAGCTCACCACAGAAGAGCTAATCTTTCTATATATTAAGTATGTTTTATTGCTGCTATACATACATATTGGTTAATTTTCACAGACATAGCTGGAAAGGACTTACATGACTGAGAAGGACTTTATAAATTCCCTAAGACGCCTTAATTTGACTGAATATAAAAATCCTAAAGTCAAATATAAGAATTTAACATGTAAGCGGCACAATGCTGTGTATTTTTCATATATTATTTAATCTCTAACAACCTTGAAAAGTAAGCAGAATTCTATTTGGCCACTGAAGACAGGCTTAGAGAGACTGAGTAATTTACAGGAGTTTTCACTGTGGTAATATGGACAAAAAGCAATAATTTTACATAAAGGACTGAATAAATGAACTTAACTAGAATAATTTCATACTTGATATGAAACTAAGTCAGCTAGCAGGATGGGGGGAGAAAATAAAGTAATAAAGTCTTCTTATTCTGAGAATTTGATTATATTGTGATTCTGATTCAAATCTGAATATTCTCTGATGGCTCCATAGTAGTTACAAAAATCACACTTTTAATATATTTGGCTACTTAACAATAGATTATGTCTTTACATTTAAAGTTGTTAAAGATGGACACCTGTGCAGTTTTGTAGGCTTTTTGAGTCTGTATTTAAAGAATGAGGTAAAAAGAAGCTCTTAAGAGCCACATTAAGGCCGGGTGTAGTGGCTCACGCTTGTAATCCCAGCACTTTGGGAGGCTGAGGTGAGCAGATCACTTTAGATCAGAAGTTCGAGGCCAACATGGCAAAACCCTGTCTCTACTAAAAATACAAAAAAAAATTAGCCACGCATGATGGTGGGTGCCTGTGGTCCAAGCTACTCGGGAGGCTAAGGCATGAGAATTGCTCGAACCCAGGAAGCTGCAGTGAGCCAAGATCATGCCAGTACACTCCAGCCTGAGTGACCGAGCAAGGCTCTATCTCAAGAAAGCCACAATACAATCCCTTATTTTCAGGTTCAGACTCCACAAGTATGAAGTCTGTAATTAGCTTTCCAACTTTTGCCTATGTAATAGGCAAAAATCTCAGTAATAAGAATACATTATTTTTAATGTCATATAATTCCTTTATAGTGATATTTGGGGCAAACAGGACTGCCAGCCCTTAGAGGCCACATCTGTGTGACTTCTGAATTAATTCTCATAAATATGTCACACAGAATTGAATAAAATGAACAACCCTCCTGAGTAATATATGAGGGTTAGAAAAGGCATGCGTCAGCAATGTCTGTTGTACACAGTTAAAAACTTTTATATAAGAAGTCCAAACTTCCTCCACATTAATACATTAGCATTAGACTATCGTGCTTCAGTCATAAGATCTCTGTCCCGTGGGTAATAATAATAGTTAACATTTCAGTGATAACCATAGGCCAAGTACTATCTTAAGCATTATACATACAAAATCTCATTTAATCCTCAGAACAACTCTTTAAGGTGTACCAGGTACTGTTACTATTTCCATTTTACCAATGAGGAGACCAGAGAAGTTAAATGACTTGCTAGCATCTCACAGTAAATGGCAGAGTTTGGATTCAAAGCTCGACAGCCTGACTCCAGAACTCATACTGGTTTTTTGGGGGGCTTTCTTGTTTTATTTCTAAACCGTTATACAGAGTCCTTAATAAGGTTGTACCTCATCTGCTTTTTCTTTTGGTAAAGGATAGATAAATTAGCAAGCTACATGATTTTAAGAAGTGTAGTGCTACAGGTTGAATATCCCTTATCTGAAATGCTTGAGACCAGAAGTGTTTTAGATTTCAGATTTTTTATTTTGGAATATTTCCTTTACACTTACCAGTTGCACATCCCAAATCTGAAATCCAAAATACTCCAATGCACATTTCCTTTGAGTGTCATGTCGGCACTCAAAAAGTTGCGGATTTTGGATTTCGGATTTTTGGATTAGGGATATTCAACCTGTAACAGTTATATTTTCTTTGTAAGACTGTCTTAAATCATTTCTACAAAATTGTCCTCCCTAATGAAGCAAAAGCTTACAGATCTATCAGGTAAATGCTACCTTTTCTTTCACATATTCTTTGTAGTGCCAAATATAGGGAAGATACCCAGGAATTTAAACAAAATTGGTTATGTTGTGCTGACAAAGGGCAATTATTTTAACTACATATCTGTTTTGTTTTACTATCTGACTTCTGAGTCGTATCCAATACCATGGAATTTTCCAGTGGTAGAAAATCTCAAAATCAAAGTATAATAAGAGATAAAACCCTTTCCATTTGGTTATTCAAAAAACAAGAACAAAACATTATTGTTTTGAGGAACTCAGGGTCTAAGGAAGCATTTTATTGAGATTCTTTTCATTCAAAGACTTACACATTTCTCTCCCCTAGGAAATACCTTTTTCTTCCTTGAATCTTTTTCTTTTCATATTGATATTTCAGATATGTAAGTTTCATATTTACTTAACCAGTCAGCATTATACCTTGTAGCATGTTAACAAATTCATTTAAATTTCATGAAAAACAATTCCATAAATAAAAGATGGCTTTCTGTGGATCACTAGGTTATTTTTTTTTTGTTTTCTAGGAAATAACAGTACAACAGCTAATGGCTCATTTGGATTCTATCAGGAAAGACATGGTCATCCTAGAGAAAAGTGAATTCGCAAATCTGAGAGCAGAGAATGAGGTGATGCAAATTTTAATTTATTACTCATAAAATAACTGATCTCATAATAAGCATCCTACTTAGTGAATAAGTTAATAAGACCAAGTAATAATTCCATGTGGTTAGTAAACAATAAGTTTTTAGATTTAAAAAGTACTATTTGTTTAACCATACCTAATCTTTTTCTATATAAATCATAGTGCTTTGCATACTGACAAGAATAAGAGTTACATTTTTTACATATAAAACCACATAAAACAGAAAATCTTTGAGCTATGTATATAAAATTTCTATATAATGGTTTCAGAGCTGAGAGTAATGTGGCATTTTCTATTTTATTTAATCCTGTACTAAATGTCTTTGTGACTTAAGAGAAAAGTGTATTTCTGTAATTAAGTCAGAATTTTAAGTTATGTTATCCACTGTAGCTTTTTAAATTTAGAAAATCAATTTTTAAAAGTATAATACAAAAACAAATGCATTTTGCTCATAACAATTATTTTCTGAATACAGTGGCTTACTAGTTTCTTTTGAAGATTTTTTTCCTTATCAATTGTGTATTAGAAATCCATAGATTGTCCAAATTTTGGTAATCTAGGGTTTCAGATTTTTTTAATCATAATATAGATTTGGTTTAATGCTAATTACATGTGATCTTTCCTGTACCTAGAAAATGAAAATTGAATTAGACCAAGTTAAGCAACAACTAATGGTAAGTGAATTTTTTTTCTAGCTGTTAATTTCAGAACAAATATTCATAATAAGATCATTTTTTAAATATCTTTATTTTCTTTAAAGCATGAAACCAGTCGAATCAGAGCAGATAATAAACTGGATATCAACCTAGAAAGGAGCAGAGTAACAGATATGGTATTGTGCTTTTAAATGTACTTTCTTGGTTACTTACTCCTTTTTAATTTTAGTCTTTTTTTTTTAACTTCCTGCTGCTTCATATCCTATAAGTTTACAGATCAAGAAAAGCAACTTATGGAAACAACTACAGAATTTACAAAAAAGGTAAGGTAATATGTAAAAATGTCTCTTTTGTACAGTTCTTGTGCCTTGTATAACTGCTTTTATGTGTACCAGTTTATAAGTTTGGACTTTTAAAAACTAGCCCTGTAGAATCTCTGGCTTCCTCATAACTATTATAGTTAGCCAGCACTTGCAGGGAACCTGGCACCAAGTAGATGGTCATCCATGAGCCATGACCTTGAAGTAAGAATCAAGCTTTCCACATAGTGTGCCTTTTTAAACTAAATTACTTCTATAATAGAAAATAACTATTTTTTGGGCTAGGCACAGTAGCTCACACCTGTTAATCCTGCACTTTGGGAGGCTGAGGCAGGAGTTCAAGACCAGTCTGGGAAATAGAGCAAGACCCTGTCTCAAAAAAAAAAAAAAAAAGAACTATTTTTTAAAAG